AAATGAGGCAGTATCTTTATGTCGTGGGGTTGTACAGAGGAGTAAATAAAATGACATAGGTACCAGGCAGTTAGAAAGGGTCCTGTAAGTGATAACTATTACAGTTAGAGATTTTTGCTTTTTATGCATATGTGTAGCCTTTCGAGCTCATTCTTAGAAGGGAGTGTTAGTCCATGTGCCATGTAAATTAAATTTTCATAGTACTGATTAATTTCTGCAGCAGTAGACTAGACATTAACATTATCAATATTGTCTGTGGAGAAGGGCACTCAGTAGCTGGTGAGTTTTAACTGCCAGCACGTTGATTCCAACCCTTTAACCCTGTAGGACGGGCTATAACTGCTCCTGTGGGTTTCTGAGACTGCCGGTGTTTATTGGAGTTGAAGGCCGTATCTTTGTCCTGAGGAGCAGCTGGTAGTTTTGAACTGCTGACCTCGCGGTGAGCAGCCCAATGTGTAACCACTAACCCCCCTTGTGTGAAGAGTAGGATGGGAGCACAGTGCGCAGTCCTGACTCAGCGACACGGCAACGATGGAGGGAACCCTGCCAAGTCCAGTGCCCTTCTTAGAGTCGCTGCTGCTTGAGGCCATCACTGCAAGCGCCGTGTGGAGGCCACCTCTTGAGGGGCTTCCTCTGTTCTCACTGACCCTCTGCTTTGTCTAGCACTCTTACAAAGACCACCCAGATTAAGAGAGAGGCCGTTTCCAGCAGTCCAGGAGCATCCTCCTGCGTCTTTCTATTCAGGAACCACCCTTCCACCGAAGTGACCCTGCTGGTTTCTGCCAGGCTCGCTTAGTTTTGCCTGTTCTTGAACTTTTGTATCAATGGAATCATAAATCATACAACTGGACGTCTGCTCAGAATAGCGCATGAGGCTTATCCCTGCGGCTCCGTCCGTCCCTGCTGTTGTGTGTTCTTTTACACTGCCACGCATTGTGAGGAAGAGGAGCAGCAGAAGCCTGGGAAAGGTAACACTTTGGAAGCGGGAAGCCTGTCCAAGAAGAAAACCACAGATATTTTTTCCACTGAAAGGAGCAGTGAGAAAGTCTGTGTCATCAAAGGGGAACACTTGGGACACCTCCCAGACAAACAAGGCAGTCCTGGCACGTGCTGGCTCTTCGGAGGTCATTGTACCACCGTGCCTCTCCTCTTCCTGGGCTGGTGGGCATTTGGATTGGTTCCACTTTGAGACCTTGAGGAATCAAGCTGCTCTGATTGTGCTTGCTTGAACGCCTTTTGGTGGACTTAACGTATCCATTTCTCTCTGGATCACAGATAGATTTCTTTGTAGTAGATATCGCCAGCTGTCCCCGGTGGAAACATGCTATTTTATGTTCCCATGAGAACACATAAGAGTTCCAGATACCCCGATTCCTTCCCATGGTTGGTATTGTCAATCTGAATTCGTAGTTATTTGATGGGCGAATGGTGGTCTCACAAATATCCTTTTTTTGTGGAGTGCCAGGTCAAAGCCTTTTGCATCTATTCTTTAAATTGGATTCTTGATTTTGTGCTTACTGGCTTCTCTATTGATTCTGGGCGTAAATCTTTGGCTGTAGCTCTTGTGACTATTTCCTCCTTGCCTTTTGCTCTCTGGATGATGTCTCTTAATGAACATCAGCTCATAATTTTAATGAAGTTTAATCTGTCATTTTCTTTTATGGTTAGTGTTTTTCTGTCCTTTAAAAGAACTCTTTAAAAAATACATTTTACAGCTCTTGTAACAATCCACACATCAATTGTATCAAGCACATTTGTACATATGTTGCCATCATTATTTTCTAGACATTTATTTTCTATTGGGCCCTGGGGTCAGCTCCTCTCCCCGACACCGGCCTAAAAGAACTCTTGGCTTTCTCTTTATGTGTACAGTGTGTACTTTTAAAAAGTATCTCTAACAGTTTTTCTTATTTTAGGATTTTTTTTAACTATACATTTATTCTATTGCCCAGTAGTTTTTAAGGAAAGAGTTATTTTGTAGGCTTGTATTTAATGCCCCCAAGTCGGACTCAACTAGATGGCAATGGATTTGGTTTTTGTTTTTCTATGGTTTGTAGAAATCTCAAGTAGACTATGGATTTCTACTTTCATAGTGTCGTTATCTGAGAAGCATTATTCTATTTTGATGTTCTTAAATTTACAGAGGCTTGCTTTGTGGCCTAACAATATGGTCTATTCTGGAGAATGACCGTGTGCACCAGGAAAAAAGTGTATTGCATTTTATTGGGGGGAGTGTTCTCTCTATTTCTATGAGGTCAAGTTGGATGACTGCTTTTGATTCATGAAACCAAGATAGATAACCCCTTCAGAAACAGTAATGGGAGTAATGATAGGATTCCCTGAAGGTATGGGAAGGGGTGTGTGTGTGTGTGTGTGTATGTACTGAGAGCAATGATGACATTGGGTGGTGTGTGATATGGCAAAATTAAAAAATATGTATGTTGGGGGGGTAGAGTAGGGGAGGGAGGGAATAAAGGGGGGGGCTGTGGTATCAAGGAATTAAAGAAGAAAGAAAATGTTTTAAATTGACTGGTAGCACTTGTACAGTATTGCTTGGTGTGATTGAACTACTGTAAGCGATCCCAATAAAATTATTTTTTTTTAAAGCTGGTGACTGTTGTGTGGAAAACTGCATTGGAGTGGAGGCCGTCTGTGGCCACCTCAGGGTCCCAAGGCTGATTTCCACAAGGCAGAGGCCAGGTCTTCCAGTCTTCACCCCTTTTACTCTCCTGACACCAGCCATACAGAACTCAGATGATACTCACGATTAAGGGTTTACTAAGTAGGTAGATGACAGGCTACATTCCAGGTGAGAGTGCTCAGGATGTAGTCACTCAGTTAAGACAATCTTGGTCTTCTCTGCCATGCTCACAGGCAAGTCTCTGTTAGCCTGGCCTCTGCGCTGTTGGGGCAGTGTTACAAAGTTGTTACAGGGCAGATGATAAATGCCCACAGGGCACGCCACTCTGATAAAAGCCTCAGTTCAAAGACATTCAGTGCCAGCTCTTTGGGCCAGCAAACCCAGCTCCACTAGTCAGGTACCCAGAGGCACCCCACTTCGCCAGCCACACCAGCCAGTCTCCTGCTTAAAAGCTCTCAGCTTTACTTTGTCCTTTGATGTGGGAAGTCTACCACTGTGTGTGTGTGTCATTGCTACACCTCTGCTGCTCCTCTGGTGTCACAGCTGTATCCTAAATCAAGGAGGCTCAATTTGTAGGAATCTTGGGGGCCAAAGGACACACCCCACTCCTGGCATCGGCCCCTCCCCTCCCTCACCCTCCCCTCCCCTTCCCTCCCCTTCTGTTTCTGAGATGGCTGCTTTTATACTGGGCAGGATAGCAATCACAATAAACCCTGTTGGCAGTCCCTCACAGCTGAATCATATTCTTCAGTCACTGTTCTCCCCAACTTCCTCCTACCCATCAGGAACATGAAGGTCTTCCGGTAGAGTAGACCGGATGTTTGTTGAGTTTCTTTCTCCATGCACTGTTCACCATATAAAGCCAACTGCCGTTGTGGAGTTGTCGATTTATCTCTTCAAGTCTGTTCATGTTTGCTCTGTGTGTTCTGGAGCTCTGTCTGTCATTGGGTGCACAGACACATTATAGTGAGCTCTGCGTGTTGGATTGACCCTTTAATCACACATTGCCCTTTCTTGTCCCTTATGCAGGTTTTGGCCTTGGAATCTATTTTATCAAAAATTAATATTGCCACTCTTGCTTTATTTTGTGAACTTGATATGTATATATTCTATTCCTTGGTTTAAAAATTAGAAAAAAACTGTACTGTGTATTAGGTGAAGGTTTACAGAATGATCATCAGGTTCACATACAACTCATTTAGCCTCCCAATGTACATCTTCCCCTATTCCTGACACTTTCTTCTCATCTCTCTCTCATTGGAATTTTAAAAATTCTATTTTTATGGTGGGAAATTAGATGACCTGGGTCCTCCTGCTGGATGCTGGCTTCCCCTTCACCTAAGTTAACACTGCCTACCTTCGAGCTCAACGGTTCCCAAAGTGGATGCTGCCACCCTTGGGGTGGGGTGGTGGTGGTGTACTGGAATGACCCAGGGGGCTTGCAAAAGCAGATACCTGCACTTCATCCTGGACTGTGGGCTACAGTTAAAAAGATTTTCATTGCCAGGGGGCGCTGGGAAACTTTTTCTGAAAAGATTCTAATTTGTGACTTCCCTTTCTCTCCCTTCTTCCCTTGCATCAAAGTCTGTTTCTTCTAGTGTAAAAACCCTTGCTTGATCTTTGTATGATGCCGTTTCATATCATTCAAAGCTTGACCTTCTTTGATTGATGGGTTTCAGCCTGATGTTCTCTCGAGGTTTATCTATGTCTTGAGGAGTTTGACAGACTTGTTGCTAGTCTTCATTGTGGCCTAGTATTCCATTGTGTCTGTCCCTTCTTCCACTGATGGGCTGTTAGGTGGTTTTCATCCTTGCGTGGTGCACAGTGCTGCAGTGACCGTGAGTGTGCACACATGCATGTGTTCATGCCACAGCTCTCGTGTCTCTAGGGGTTGCTGGACCATATGCTATTTCCACTCCCCATTTTTGAGGCAGCACCTACTTCTTTCCACAGTGGTTGTACTATTTTACAATCCACCAGCTGTATAGGGGTTCTCATCCCTGCACCCTCTCCACCATGTTTTATTTCCTGTTTGTTAACATTGCTACAGTCCTGGGGCCAGGTGATCTTACCAGGTTTAGCTCTGCATCTCTCAGATGGCTGATAACCTCAAGCATTTCTTCACATGTTCCTTGGCCACCTGAATGTCTTCTTTGGGGAACTGTCTGGTAGTACCTTCTGCCCAATGACTTTCAATTTACTTTTGCCGTTGTTTCTAGGGGAGTCTCTTGCAGGCAGCATGTCTATTCTGCCACTCTTTTCTGGACTGGTGCATTTGATCCACTTACATTGTGAAATTACTGCTGTCATTTTTGTGTGTGTCCGTGATTTCTGAAACGATTCTTATCTCTGAATGTAGGTGATGCCATGGAGAGCAGAAAGCCAGGCCCTGTGCAGATCGTGTGTGTCCACAAAGAGCAGCATTCCTTTGAACTAGAGGAGAAAGCCTTGGCCAGTGTCCTGTTGCAGGACCACATCCGAGACCTTGATGTGGTGGTGCTGTCAGTGGCCGGTGCCTTCCGAAAGGGCAAATCCTTCTTTCTGGACTTCATGCTGCGGTACTTGTATTTCCAGGTAAGGTTGGAGTGATAACATTTCATAAAACGAGACCTTTTTTTGTGGGGACCAACCTCCACAACCAAATGGGCCCGAAGGGGCGGTTGTGTAATTGAAGGGTAAATCAAAGAAACATCAGACAAGGCATGCAGGGGCTCATCTCTTCCAGAGAATCTGGAACCCGAGAGAGAACTAATTTATTCTCAGAGGCCTAGATAGTCTTGGGCTGGCAAACTATGGCACACACACACACATAACAGGAAGGGGATGTGCTAGGGGCAGGGACATGCACATGACAAGAAGACACATACCCAACAAGGTGGGTGGGTTCTAGGGTTAAGATAGCAGCTTCATCTTGGCCATCCCTGAGCTGGCTTGACCTTTGGTGTCCCTGAGCTCTTCTGGGGGGTGGTGGTGGTGAACAATCTAAGATCCTTATCAGAAGGGAGTGGGCTGTACTTAGGGTGGGGTGGACAATAGGGTCGGATTGCCCTCAGTGGCAGACAACCTTTAAGCTTGTAAGCAAACATGACCTTGGAAGAAGCACCTTAAGATTGGCATTATTGGGGGTGGGGGTGAGGGTGTCAGGAGACATTGTGGAGGATAACTTTTACTTAGGAGAACGTGACTGGGATTCATCTCCAACTCACAGATTTCGTGAAGGCCTCCCTCCAGTCTGCCTCCCAGAGTGTAGAGAGTTGGTCCACATGCACTCTCTTCCTGGTTCTCATTTTCCCACACTTTGTGTGCCCAGAGGAGCAGGAAACAAGCTCCTGTGTTAGCCTGGCGTGTAATTGGACCCATTGGCGAGCCAATAGGAAGGTCTTTTTCTCTTGCAGAAGGAAGGTAGCCATTCCTCTTGGTTGGGGGACTTGGAAGAACCGTTAACAGGATTCTCATGGCGGGGAGGCTCTGACCCAGAAACCACTGGGATTCAGATCTGGAGTGAAGTCTTCACCGTGGAGAAGCCAGGCGGGAAGAAGGTAAGGAAGAGAAAGGATGAATCCGTGAAGAAGAGCAAAACCGAGTGACCCAGCAGACGGGAATCCTTGGGTGTCCCGTGCTAACCGAATTTAATTGAAGTACTAACAATACAGTCAGTCCATTTTTACAAAAGTGGTTGAAGTGTGTGGTTTATAAAAATAATACATGAATATAGTTTAAATGGTCAGTTTATACTCTAGAGCTTTTACCAGCACCAAAAATATGTATCTCGTATATACTTGAGTGTAAGCCGAATTTTCCAGCACATTTTTCATGCCGTTTTTTTTGTGGTAAAATTAGGTGCCTCCGCGGATAATCAGGTCAGCTTATACTCACTTGTATACCGTGTATTGCTGTTCTGTGTCCTATTGACAATGACCGTTGCTTTCAACTTTGTTTTTTGGATGTTAATTCTGCTCTTTATCTCCCGCTGGTCTGGGTGGCAGAGGCCTGGCTGCTATTGATTTGGAAGCCGGACAGGGCGAGGGCACTAGGGAGCCTCAGTGTTCTGGGAGCAGGCACTCCCTTGTTCCCGCAGTTATCAGTAGGGCATTGTGGTCTAGTGACCTACAGCCCCTGTAGCCTGCAGTTGCAGGGCCTCTGTGCTTCAGCGTCGCCAAAAACTCCTCGTCAGAGTCGAGGGGGCCAACTCAAGTGTCTCCTGAAGTAGAGGAGGGGACGTGGGGTACGGTGGTTCCTTACAGGAGCGCTGGCAGTAAAACGCCTTCCATGTTGTGCTGCTAAACACAAGGCCACCAGCCACTCCCTGGGAGAAAGATGAGGCTGTTTGTTCCCAAAAGACACGGTCCCGGGAATCCAAAGGAGCAGTCCTCTTTTGTCCTGTCAGGTCACTGCGAATTGGAATGGACCTGATAGTGGGTTGGGTTTCACACGGACATGAACCCCTTCCTTTTGCTTTGAGCCCCCTACAAACTGCCTTGTCAGTCATCTCTGCTGCTGGTTTCTGAGCACCTTCCCAGGGCCTCTGGGTTTACTTTTATTGACCTTGACCTCTCACTTTAGGCTCCTCTACTAGCAGGTTGATAATTAGCTTATTAAAAAGAAGATAGTATTGGGAGTGAAAGCTGATAGAGGAAATTAATTTCTGAGTAGTGTATCTGGCTTTTATTTGTTTTCTGTTCAGTAGTGTCTGTGGTTTCTATTTGTTTTGTGACATGACAACAGAGTTCTTCCCACGGACTCCCTTGGCGTTCCCAATTTTGTGCATCCTTCTCTGTCCCTTTCTACCTTGGCTGTGATAGCTGCTGTCGCATTGGTCCCCTGTGCTTGATTGTGACTGAGATGCCGCTCCTTCACGGGGAGTAAGGTTTTTCACCCACCTTTTCAGGCTTATCCTCAGCCTTTCCCTGAACATTCTGCCAGCTGAGAGAGACCCCAGAAACTAAACTGGAGGGTTGGCGCCCAGCTCTTGACTGCTGTCTTCCCATCTCTGTTTTCCATGTATATTTGTGGCTTTTAAATTCTTTTAGGTTTCTTTCTCTTTTTGTGAAATTTTAGCAAGATGTGTTGGGAAAACCGTAGAAAATGATGTAGCAAAATAGGGGCGTGGATACTTAAAAAAAAATTAGAATTTTCTGGAATAAGGAATTGTACTTAATATAAGCCTGGGAATTTTCATGGTGGGGATCCCTAAATATAATTCTATCCAACTTAAGTTTTTATTATCTTTATTGAGATAAAATTGACATTCCATTTTTCATCTACCAACATTTATGCTTTTTTTGGCCACACACTTTAATAACATGGGTTTCGGTTTTGTTCACTGGTCTTTGAGGACATTTAAGTAATAACAGTCATATAACCTGTTTGGTTATAGTAACTGTCCTCTTTATTTTGTGAGCACACGTGTTAGGCTGGATTGTTTAGAGAAACAAAACCCGGGACACACATGCATAAGAAAGAACTTTGTATCAGGAACTAACTTTTTATATCAAGAAGGCATCCCAGCCCAGTCCGTCTCAAGCCCATGGGTCCACTGCTTGCTGGCGCCCTCTTCAGACTCCCATGGCTGAAGGCTGCTGATGACTCAGAAAGGGGAGGTCACAGGCTGGTGGGTCTTGTAGTCTCAGGGAGCCAAGGTTGTTGGGAACATGGCAGGGCAGTGACAACTCACAGGTTGGCTCCCAGGGTCAGCGGCCCACATGGGGCCACCCTGGAGGCAGACAGAGTCTCAGTAGGGATGAAGGCAAAGGGCCAGCGAGGAGAGAAGTGCTCACTGTCTCCCTTCTAGAAACAGGCATCGTCTGGCTGTGGACTCCACCTGTGCACCACTTCCCACAGCTTCAAACTTGCCATCAAATCAAGCTGCCACTGCTCACGTTTGAATTTTCTTTCTGCGCCAGGACGTCCTTTAATGTATCACGTAGGGCTACTTTGCTGGTAATACTTTCTGCTTTCATATGTCTGGAAAAGTCTTTATTTCCTCTTTGCATTTGAAAATAACTTCCCTGGTGTAGTATTAAATAAAATTGCGTTTTAGGAGGTAGAGGGAAGGTGAGGGGCCCAGCCCCCACCCGCTGCTACTCCTAAGAGTTCAGTAATACTACTTCTGGGTTCAGTAATGCACAATTGTACGGTTGAGATATATAAGTATTATATTAAAGTCATCGAGAGCATGAGAGATAATACAATAATACAGTCAGGCATGATACATAGCAACATTGCTCACCTCAGCCCAGCTTGGTGGTCCACGTGGAGAGAGGGGGAAGGGAAGGAGGGAAGGGGAACAAGGGAGAGGGGACTGAGCAGGGAGTGAGCAGCAAGGAGCTCAGGGTCAGAGTCAGAGAGTCAGAGAGAGCTCTATAGTGCTGGCTCACACCTATATACCTTTTGGGGGCAATCCAGCCCACTAATTACAGGTAAAGACATACGTCACAGGAAGGGGCTGCACTCTAGGTTACACAGCAATGAGTGGGTGGTCTAGGGGTTGGTCTCTGGGTCTCCATAGGAACATTATCAGTAGGGTGCAAACCCCACCTAGAGGAACCAAGCTAATGGTCCCAAAGCTTCAGAGAGAAGTAGGCCATTGTCCCCAGCAGCAGGGAGCAGGCCCAGCCCTGCTGTGGGATGAGACAGCAGTCTGGCAGCAAGTGTCTGACTTCTCCCCACACCCTGGGTATAGAATTCTGGGTTGACGATCTTTCTTTCAAACTTTAAAGGTGTTGCTCCACTGTGTCTGCTGACATGATTTCTGACAAGAAATCTGTTACAATTTCTTTAATTAATTATTTTTATTTTAAAAAAAATTTGCTGTCACTTTTGCTTTTGATTTGTGTACATACCTCTCTCTTTTTTTTGGGCACGCATAGGGTGGAGACTAGTTTCTATTAAGATTTTCTCCTTATCACTCGAGGCGTTTGAATGTGTTATTGAAGAAATGGTGTGGGGACCAACATCTGACCCCACTAGTTAGTTACTCTCGGGAGACGGAAAGTCCATCCAACTCCACATCTGCCCAAGGGTAATTTCTGTGAGGCAGAGGTCAGGCGTGCCGCCTCCACCCTCCATCCGTCTTAATTCTTTCCGAACACCAACCATTTCTCCCATGTCCCATGACACTGTACTTCTCTGATGGGTTCGATAACTCATCACAGTGGCCACTCAGAACTCCAGGCAATACTCACGACTGTGGGGTTTCTTAGGAAAGCTAACAGGTTACATAAGTTAAGGATAGCGTTCTTTGTCCTCAGGGCCTCTTTCAGCCAGGCTGGTAGGCATGGCTTTCTCTGGTCTTTGGCCTTTCATTTCTGTGTCCCCTTATCCTCTCTCTCATGCTCTTCCACCATGTCTCACGGTCTCGGTGCTACAGCCTCTGCTGCCTCTGCCACTTCAGGCAGGGGCCGTACAGGCTTCCGCTGGGCCGCTTCTTTCTTGGTGGTCTCGGGCTTCTTTCTTCTTGCTTCTGAGATGGCTCGCTTGCATACCCAGTGGAGGGGGAAAGCGGACTGGAGAGCTGTGCCACGTCACTGTACCTCACTGCAGGTGTGTCTTGGTGACCTTCTCTTTTCATGTGTCTGTACCTTATGCTGATGAGCTCCTTGGATCTGCAGATTTATAATTACTTTATCAAATGTGGACATTTTAGAAACCATTATGTCTTTAGACTTTTATTTTTTTGACCTCCCCCCAACACACACACACACACACACACACACACACACACACACACACACCCTCTGTTTGTGGGCTTCTGTCTTCTAGCTATTTGGTGCTCTGGTTAAAACAAAAGCAAAACCATTTCAATTTATTGACTTTTTGGGAACAGTTTTAGATCTTCCAACAGTGCTCAGAGTATCGAGTTGGCGTGACTCCTCACAGCCTTGTGGGACAGGGTAGACCTGCCCCAGGGGTTCCCAAGCCTGTAAATCTTTAGGGGAGAAGAAAGCCTCATCTTTCTCCCAAGTTGAGCTGACGCTTTTGAACAGCTGACCTTGTGGTTAGCAGGCCAACGTAAGACAAAGTCACAGACCAGTGGAGCAAAAGTGGCATAGTAGTAACCAGTTTCCATTCCTTCCTAGCAGCTGTCACCTTGTTCTTGAAAGTGGTTATGGCAGTGCCCTGTTTCACCCAAGGGCATCCGACCACCATTTCCCCCAAAGTGTCCAGCACATAATCTTGGTTGAACTGGCCCTTCTGGGTATTTCTCCTTGTTTCCTCCATTTAATACATGCCATGATGAGCTCTTTTTACAAAAAATCGTGGTGTATAATTCATATGCTTTTAAAGTGTATAACTCATTAGTTTTTTTGTATACTTACAAGGCCAAGCAACCATTGCCCCCTGGCAGTTCCAGAACTCTTTCGTCTCCCCAGAAAGAAACTCTGCCATTGACAGTCGACACTAAGCAACTTTCCTTCTCCCTGGCTGTCTGCTTAGCTCTGATGTTTCATCTAATGGAATCATACAGTTGTGTCTTTTGTGTCTGGCTTACCCCACTAGGCCCAGTGCCCTCCAGGTTCACATGCAGTGTACCATGCAT